TATTGTTGTAAGTCAAATCCACTTTTCCAAGTTTATCACTCGTGGGCAGTTGGCTTAATTTTGTGTTAATCTGTTAATTATTGAATGCGTAAATGTCCAAAACTATGTTTTTTAACCTTTAATTGAGCATGTTATTTGATTAAGATCTCAGCTATTTTAAATGGGACCAGAGGAATAACAGTGTATAATTAGAAGAACCTTACTGAAGGTGTGTAGCTTTTATGCTAATCTTTTCCAAGTCACTGTGATTTTAAAACACTAATTTGGTGTTATTGCAGCACATGCATAGACACATGTTACAGCAGTATGTTTTTAGCATACTTTATATGTAGGGTATTATTTTGTAATTTGTGGAATCTGTATGTACCTACTTTCTAGTTGCTGAGTTCTAAAAAATAAAAATAACTAATGTTAAGTCTTCATTCTAACCCATGTTAAAGAATTATTAGATAATGCCAGAAACTAGAGAGAGAAGCCAAAATTTCTATATATAATCAGCAGTGAATACAAGAGAATTTTTGCTAGTTCTGAAACATAATAGTAACTATTGCTTTTAGGATTTTAGGTGGGAATGATTAGAGATTGTGCTCCAAGGAGATGGCTTCAAGGGATTGGATCAGATTATAATTTCTTGACTGAGAGAGTCTATGACTTAGATTAAATAGCTGTACGCTCCATGGCTTGTAAAAGGCGAAAGATTTATACGATCTGAAAAGAAACCAGAGTATGCTCCATGGCTTGTAAAAGAAGATTTATATTGGTTAAAAGTAGAAAATACAGTCCCATCCAGGAGATAGGCCAATAAGATGACATATATGTTTTGTCTTTTTTGGTATTTATTGAAAAAGAAACCTTAATTTAGAATTTTAATTTTTTTTTAGGATTTTATTTATTCTTGAGAGACAGAGAGGCAGAGAGACATGGGCAGAGGGAGAAGCAGGCTTTCCATGGGGAACCTAATGCAGGACTCAATTCTAGGACCTTGGGGTAACACCGTGAGCCGAAGGCAGATATTCAACCACTGAGCCACCCAGGCATCCCTAGAATTTTAATGTTTTATTCAAGAATGATCACAGCTCCTTATAGGCATTGAGAATTAATGAACTCATTATTTGTGGTACATAATTAGTAAAAGAAAACCTCTCTCATAAACATGTTTGTTTTATGAGACTGTGAGGGCAGAGTTGGTACTTTGTTCATCTTAGCAGCCTTGCTGCCTGCCATTGAGCTGGGCATGGTGGAGCCTGGCATGTCAGAGCCTGGCATGTCCTAGGTGCTGGAATGAAATGGGAGTAATTACATAGTAACATTGGTTGGCTCTCCTACAGTATGGTGAAGTTTTAAGAAATCAGATCCCTTTAATCTAGACAAATCTTTACACTGAATTTTTACTATGAAAAGAAAGAAAGCCAAGCCTATGATTGTTCCTTTAAGAACACAGTAAGAGTAGAGTTTTTTTTTCTTTTAAAGTATGTGTGTTTCTGAGATACTATTTGAATTTTAAAATTTAATAGGATAGTTAGCTGCAAATACAGTTGCCCCTTGAGCAAGTTGGGGTTAAAGGATACTGACACCAGAAATCTGAGTTACAATTTTTGACTCACCAAAAACTTTACTAATAGCCTACTGTTGCCTGAAAGCCTTACTGATAAAGAGTCAACACATATTTTCTGTGTTCCATGTATTATACAATAAAGTAAGCTAGAGAAAAGAAAATGTTATTAAGAAAATCATAAAGATAATCCATTTTCAGTACTGTATTCATAAAAAAAATCCATGTATAAGTGGACCCACTAGGTTCAAACCCATGCTGTGAAGGATCAACTGTAGTAGCTGAGTTCATACAAGATTCTCCCTTGGGCACTCAAACAGTGCTCCAGGCGGACTTGTCTTTCAATTCTCCTTGACTTCGTGTCTCAGTAACAAGGAAGCTGCACAAACAAAGCTCCAGCAATCCACGACAGACCAGAGGCCTGCAGCAGGACGGGGCCTAGCACCAAGTGTGTGCGTGTAGCCTGTGCACGTGCAGGGCCTGACAAAACCCTCCATTAGCAAGAACTTGTCATTGATACTTCATTAATTTGTAAGTTTTGACTATTTCATCATGAGCTGTGAGAAAGTTATATTTATGTTGAATAAAACAAGTAAATTGAGTGTAGGTTTCTTAAAAAAGAACAGACTCTTTAAGGTGCTATGAAAGTACGATTTTCACATTAATCATATTAACCAGCACTGCACTGGGCAGTAGCTTTATACACTAATTTAAAAAAATTAACTCCTTTCAGGCAGCACTTGGTTAAACATGTAAATAAATGCTTAGTTTTATTTACTAGAAAGTGAATCAGTTCCTTAAAAAAAAAATTGGGATGATTCAGACTTCATGCTAGACCTTTGATGTGGCTTTCAGATGATCCAAAGATACATAAAAGTGATGGAGCCTGGTGGAGAACCAGAGTTAATTAATATAGTTTCTCAGAAGCCAAGGGAGAATTTCAATAAGGAGAAATGATCAGTGATGTCAAATATTGTGAGGAGTTGAGGTAAATGAGAGTTGATAAATACCTATTCAATCCGACAAGACCATTTTGACTTTGGAAAAGATTCAGTAGAATAAAGAGAATGAAGGTAGTAAGAGAAATTTAAAGAGTGGAAGTACACCAGTGATTTTAGACTACATTTGTGGGAAGGTGAGCCCTGAATGGGAGGCACATAATATGTGGACAATGCAGAGATGTATAAAATCATCTTGGTTGATGGAGCTATAAAGGAGATGGTGAGAAAATATCTTGGTGCATAGGTTTTAAATGGTTGAATTACATGGATTTGGGTAATTACTATCTTTAATATTCAAAAGTATTTTGTTTTAGTCCCTCAAACATTATCTTTTATTCTTTAATAATAATTTATCCTATCTTTGGAGTGTAAATAATGCATAGCAAGTGATCCCAGCTCTAAGATGAGTCTACAGTCAGTGGACTTGACCAAAGGCTAAGCATTGACATTAATGGTTCAAACGGCAGGAAAAGGTATTTAAATGAAACAAAAATATGGCTGTCATGTATAGTGAAATGCTTAGATACATCCCTGCATTTAATTTAGAAAATCAATTTAGAATTTGTCTATTGTCTATCTCAGTGAGGATGGAGGACATAATAAAAAATGATATACATTGTCCTAGGTTTGGTCAGTGTTAGAGTCCCCTGCCCTTCCCCAGCATTAAGGGTAAAGTTTCTGCTTACAGTACCTCTGTCAGTTGGTCTTCAGTGCCCAGTGCTCTGAATTCTCCTAGCGAATTGACTTTCTGTTCTCAGTGTTAAGAATCATGTTTTGGGTGGCCCTAAAGAATGATCATTATGCCTATGGAAGACTCCTAAAATTCAACAATTGGAAAATAGTTGAGTGCTTATGCAAAAAGAACAGCTGACCGCTGAGGTGTGGGAGTTCCAGCTGCTCGAATTGTGGTTGATTAATATACTTGGTATATATTTTAGATGATCAAAGAGCAACTCCATAATGAAACATGAGAGAAATCCTTTCTGCTCATCTGTGAAGGCAGTTGCTGGGACACCTTAACACTCAGAGGAGACAATATATACTTTATTACAGGGTGACTGGAGGGCGTTGGGAGAACCCTAAGCACAATTACAGAGGTGCATATGGTTTTTGTCTCCTGAGAGACCTCTTCTCAGAAAAGGATCTGATTAAGTCATTCACATTAATCACTGTAATGAGGAATATGTTTCTATGGGGCTTAATGTTTAAACCAAGGGTGTTTACCTTTTACCCAAGAGGCACCCCCTTCAATTAAAATTTATGAACCACCTACTATGTTTGAGTCCATTGTGGTGGTGCTAGCTTTTTATTTCATTCAATTATTCAATGACTAAAACTTGATTCTTGCTTTTGTGGGATTCATAGACTTGTCCAAATTTTATCATTCTATTTATGGAGCCATGGAGCCAGATGAAGAATTTTTGGTGTTAGATTCTTAAAATCTCTTTCAGGAGGCAACTATTTATTTTACCTACAATAAGGCTCACCATGAAGATAATTAATCCTCACTAAATGGATGAAGCAGGGAAAGTAGTACATATCTTAAGAAAAACTTTGTGACTTGTATCTCCTTACTTCCCCCAACATAAGCAAGCTGATTCTTCTGTTCAACTATTTATTTTGGTCTGTGAACTTGTTAAGTATTGGGAAGCCATTTTTATGCCTTTAAATTCATTACACTGGCACATGCTGATACACACTCTGCCTGAATCTGGGAAGGCTTTGTCTCTACTTACAGTGAAAACTAGAGCCAGTGAAAAATAAAGAGGAAACTTGAGATGATTTCTTGGAGGAGGAGAGCATCAAATGTGTGTTTGGTCTATTAATGAGACTTGTTAAGAAAGACAGGCCTAGAGGTCTGGAGCGGCAGGACTGGGAGACTCTGTCAGCTAATTTCTGCCCTCTGTACCCTTTGGCCTCAGTGTTAGATCTCTGCTTTAATATTAGTTTACTCTCTGAAACTATTTTACTTTTTAGAATATGATGGATGTTTTTCTTTCAGAGGAATGTTTGATAGAAATGAAGACACTGCCAGATAAGAATAGGTACATAAGGGATACTCTAATTAGGAAAGTTTGTGTTCTTTGAATATACCATGATTTTTGTCATCCATGATACACCATTGACTACTTACTAAAACTCATTTGAATACAAGAAAAGAAATAAGGTCTTATTGTTTCAGGTGGGCTTTGAAATTATTGTGGCCATTTCTTTGTAAGCATTATCCACACTTGACCTGAACCTTTTTTCATGGTTTAGAATTAGATATCCTGACTCCTTTTGCAAATGAAAAATGGGAGGTGTTTTTAAAATTTTATTTTAAATTTTATTGTGACTTTTTATTTATTGTGATTTTATTGTGACTTACCATTTTCTTTTCTATTTTTTATTTTGTTTAAAGTGCCCAGTTGCTCTTTTAACATATTATTTTTCTGTTTCTTTTTCAGATGATTGTTGGAGAAGCCCTGTCTGTTTACTATAACCTTTTGCACTCGAATTCCTTTATCAGGAATAACTACATAGCCACTATTTACAAAGCCATTGGAACATTTTTATTTGGTGCAGCTGCTAGTCAGTCCCTGACTGACATTGCCAAGTATTCAATAGGCAGACTGCGGCCTCACTTCCTGGATGTTTGTGACCCAGATTGGTCAAAAATCAACTGCAGTGTTGGTTACGTTGAAAACTACATATGTCAAGGGAATGCACAAAAAGTGAGGGAGGGCAGGTGCGTGTTAAATCTTCAATGTTTGTTTTATTTTGTGTATTCTTGGAAAAAAAGTTTTCAGAGATGGATGAGCTATCCACTAGCTTAGAGCAGCTAGTGTAATCACTGGGAGGTGAATTGAGATTATATTTTGACCTGTTATCTCTACTTACTCTTTTTCTCCCTTTTATCCCTACCTTCTATGTAAGAGCATTTTAATGCAGGTCTTTCCATCTCCAATGAATAATAATGTAAAATAAATATCATATGTCCTATAGTGCAGGGCCAGTAAACTTTTTCTTAAGGTACCAGAGAGTAAATATTTTAGGATTTGTGGGCCATTTGGTTAATTTGACAACTGTCCAGCTCTGCTGTTGTACCAGGAAAAAACAACCATAGACAATCCTTGAACGAATGGGTGTGGTTATGTTCCAATAAAAGTTTATTAACAGAAATAGTTGCTGCTCCAGGGTTATAGTTGGCTGACTTTTGATGTAGGCCAGCTGTGCATCAAGTTCTGCTCTATCTCTCAGGATTCTTAGGGTATATTTTTTATAAGAAAACTTCATATCCTGACAGCTTAGGTCTTCAGGTTGCTGCCTTCTAATAATACCCTTGTTGGGCTCCTTTCTATACCTGGAGCACTATTAGGCAGGAATGAAATAGAATGTTTGGAACCCAAAAAGTCCAACCCCTTTAATGTATATAGATAAGAAAGAAGAGGCTCAGTAATACTAAATAAAGCCATTAGGGTCACTTGGGTGGCTCAGTTGGTTAAGTGTCTGCCTTTGGCTCAAGTCATGATCCCAGGGTCCTGGGATCAAACTCCTTGTAAGTCTTTCCTGCTTCTTCCTCACCCCCACCCCTTCCCCAGCTCATTCTCACTTGCTTTCTCTCTTTCTCGAATAAATAAAATCTTAAAAAATAAAAATAAGTCCACTAATTAGTAGGAGAGCCAATTACCCATCTCAAGTCTCAGAATTGTCAGCCTTATCTTTTCTATATAATTGACTTATATTTTAAGATAGCTATCACTTTACCTTAGTCATTTATCATCCAACAAATACTTTGGGCAAAACATCGTTGTGCCTTTTTTTTTTTTTTAAAGATTTTATTTATTCTTGAGAGAGACAGAGAGAGAGAGAGGCAGAGACATAGGCAGAGGGAGATGCAGGCTCCCTGCAAGGAGCCTGATGTGCCACTCGATCCCAGGACCCCGGGATCATGACCTGAGCCAAAGGCAGATGCTCAACCCCTAAGCAACCCAGGTGCCCCTGGGTAAAACATCCTTTGAGTGTTCTTTATACATGATTCTCAAGCATTTGATTGTCCTTGTTATAAGCTGCACAGGCCTTATAGTAGCCCTCAATTTTTGCATTTAGTGGTAATGAAAAAATACCTTACTTTAAGTATTCACTGTGGTGTGCCTGAGATCCAGCAGTGAACTAGAATGATCTTCATGGAGTTTAGGCTAGCACAGAGAACTTAGATTAAATTAGCGAGGGCAGTGGAGGAGAACCTCTTTGTTGATACAAAGGCCAGAGAATAGAGAGGCTGTTGAATTGGCAAGCTTTGAGGTGATCATTGGAGGACTGATAGGGTTATAAAATTTTAATGAATGAAGGAGAGGGAAGTGACTAATGCAGTAGTATTGTTGATTTGAGTTGAAGAGCCCATTGAAGAGTTAGGAACTTAAAAACACCAGCACTGGGCACTAAGGGTGTGGGATGTGGAGATCTCATGCTTTGCTCTCCTAGCACTACAGTGTCCTGGAGAAATGTCTCATTTTAATGACTAGGAGATGTAGTAGCCTTCGGTCAAGAGGTTGAAGACTCAGGGAAATATAGAGGACTGTCCATGCCTCTGCCTCTAGTAATCTCTTCTGCATCACCCAAGCTCTAATGTTTTCTCTTGGCCAAGGAATTTAAGAAAGTCAGGTGATGATAATTTAAGAAAGTCAGTTTTTCTAAACTCTAGAAAATATTATTTAAAATGATTCTTTAAGAGCACAGATTCCTCATACGTGTATTGTTTCTCTGGTTCAGTGGATACATACATTCTGGCTCAGAATTTTCTTGTAACAGTATATCTTATTGAGAGATTTAACTTTCTTACTTGATCCATTTGAACAAAATATGAAATATAATTTCTTTTAAATGGCATAAATGTGATTACATTTTCCAGTCCATATATGACCTATTACGTATCTCTTATATATCTAAATTGGCCAACACGTACTCTGATGGTACTTTTGATGTAAATATATGTAGGGTTTTTACCCATTACCCTTTAAAGTTTCTTCAGCAACCCACATTTTCAGTGAGAAGATCTGTTGATAAGCATTGGGGTTCTGAAGGAAGAAGAAAAATCAAACCTAGAAATGAAAATTTAAAACTTTGTGTCTTCTGAGAAAAATGGGATATCTATTAGTGTTTCCAGAATGAGTTAGTGGTTACCAGTTTCAGAGCTTTGTAACTTTGGTGCATAACTGTGTTTTTGCATTGCTGTTCTGTTGTGGAGCATAATTTGGTTGGAGTCGGGCTTTCCCATTTCTTTTCTCTTGAATTTTTTAAGTCGGGGTGCCAAAAATGCAAAAACATTTCAGTCTAGACATTGTAATATATTAGGAGTATAATGTAATCTCCTTTATTTTATTTGTTTCCACAGCCTGCCCCCTGTACATTTATTTTAATTATAAAATTATAATGCTTGAATTGGAGAGAAGGGAACATAAGCACCCAAAATGAGTCATTTTTGTTGACTATAAATGAGTCAGAGTTACATCTGAGGGTGAGAGTACTCTCCTAAAATTTTGACTTTTGGTCTTGATTTTTTTCCCCCATTCATTCTCTTATTTTCTTCTATTCCTCTCTCTGCCCTTCCTGCATATGTGCGTGCTCTTGTGCTCTCCTCTCATTGATGTCAGAGGACTTGTACCAGGGTTCATTTGTGGTTCTGAGTCCTAAACATAGAGGTGAGAACATACATGGACTGTAGTAGCATACTTCATAATATCCAGAGAGCTCATATTCATTGTTTAAAATTAATACCTGGCAATTTACTATAAATGAAAAGGGGCTGTACTCATCTAGCTGCTCTTGCTTATGCCAGTGAGATTAGCATTACTTTGTGAAAAAAAAAAAAGTTACTAAAGAGTCTCTTTAGAGATCTTTATGCCAGCAGCTCTCAAATGTTAGTGGTTTATTAGAAGTACCTGGAGGGCTTGTTAAAACACATTTCCACGTGTCATCCTCAGGTGTTTAATTCAGGAAGAGGGGGTGAGGGGTGCAAATATATATTTCTGACACACTCCCAGATGCTGCTGTCTTTGTGCTTGATCTCAGGACCACACTTTGAACCAGTGCTTTATGTCCCCTGGATGATGGGAACACGGCCTCTCATGATGTTATCTCAGGATATTCGGCAGGGTGAATTTAAGATTGTGCACAACTAGCTGTGTTTCTGAATGATCTATCACTACCACTAACTCAAGAACCGAGCAGGTGAGCCCTGGTGCTACTGGGGCGAATTGCTCTATGCCAGGGAATCCTGAGGCAGGGTGGACAAATCAGAAGCACAGCTCCTGGCTGGGTTTGCCAGCACTGTTGCAGAATAAACTTGGATAAACTGGTTGTAAGGAAAGGCAGTAACTCGAGATGGTGGTTTCGAAAAGAGAAAGGGAGAAGTTTAGGGTGCTTGGTAGCAGGCTCAAGCATTAACAACTGGCCTCTCCACCAGCAAGATGGACACCTTCAGCGTTATAGGGAAAGATGGGGTGGGATATGTGCAAGAGGGTGGGCAGGGAGTGCATGATCACGGGTGGGGGGGGTCAGTATGTGTTCAGCCCAAGATCATGGGCAGGGAAGGGGATATGTGGGATGTGTGGTCTAGGCATTCCACTGCTATCAGGGCTTTTCTGGTCTGGCAGTTGGGATGTTCAGGTGTTTGCAAAATGTCTTTGTCAATACCTTGAGAAAGTTCGATAAGAAATAAGCACAATGGGTTTTCGTTGAAGCATCGGTTAAGAAGTCTTGCCTGTTCCTGGTTTTAACTGTTGGAGCCTGTAGTTGAGCAAGAGAGCTTGATAACAGTTGCTCTATTTGTGATACTACACAAATGTGATAGTGATACTACAGTATAGAAACTTGTCTTCTCTAAGTGATTCACTTTTTTCTTTTTTCTGGCTTTTATTTAAATTACATTGGTTTAAGCATAGACTCAGCGTTCCTGATCAATTCTGAGTGACTGACTGGTCTTTGTCTATATAAATCAGATATTCAATATAAAGTTATTTCTTTTGGATTTTGGCAGCTTTGTGTTACTTAGCTGTTTAATTGTGATATGTTTGGTTGAATGTGATAAATAATTTTCCTTTTGCCTTTTTTAAATGCAACCCCCATGTAGGTAAAATGAAGCTGAATTTCGAGGAGGACCTTCTACAGTAGTGAAAATCCATTATAATTAGACTGACTAGCTGTGGTATTAAGTACTTTGAGAGAAAAGCTGCTTCTTTGTGGTCTAATTGTAGACATTACTGGACACTTTATGCTTTCAGAAAGATTTATTCAGGTTTATCTATACTTCCTGTGTGTGTATATGTCGGTAAGCTAGAAATCAACCTTAGTTTTTAGTCTTCTATCTACCTGGAAATAGCAACATATAGACTGAGAAAGGGGGTTCTTTTAAAAGATCCTTCACCCTGTGAATGGACATTAGCTCTTAGCATATGTAAAAGGAATTGGACTTGAAGGGCAGCAGCACTTTCCACCTCCTCTGTTCTCAATATTAACACATGACACTTAGGTTGTAGCTGTGACTATCTCCTCACCCCCATGCTGACTCTTTTTGCCCCAGTGTTTCTGACCCTTTAGTCACATTGGAATCACGTGGAGAGTTTGTTAAAGTATAGATAGCTGGGCCTCACCCCTAGAGTTTCTGATTCAGTGAGTCTGAATGCCAGAGAGCCCAAGAATTTCCGTTCCTAAAACATTCCCAGATGCTGCTGTAGCTGCTGACCTGAG